CATGGGGGGTGGCCGTGGCCTGCCTAGTGGGTGCTGGGTGGGGTGGGGTGGGCTGGGATGCGTGGGGGTGGCCGTGGCCTGCCTGGTGGGTGCCTGGGTGGAGTGGGCCGATGCACATGGGGGCAGCTGTGGCCTGCTTGGTGGGTGCTGGGCAGGATGGGCCGAGGCACGTGGGGGTGGTGGCTGTGGCCTGCCTAGTGGGTGCTGGGTGGGGTGGCCTGCTTGGTGGCACGTGGGTGGGGTGGGCGGGGTGCACTGGAGGTGGCATCCTGCTGGGTGCTGACCTGCTGGCCCCGCAGGCGGCGCCCCTCCCTCGGCTCAGAGCCTCTGACCTGCAGCTGCTCGGGGTCCTGGTGTGTGACATGGACGCATCCAGCATCGCCACAGCAGATCCCCATGTGCTGGAGAACCTGCAGTGTTGCCCCCAGCTGACTGCCGACCAGCGCATTGCCCTCAACTCCCTGCTGGCTGGCGGGAGGACCCAGCTCGGGTGGGTGGGGTCACAGGGCCAGGCAGGAGAGGGGGGCGAGATGGGAGGCAGCCTCGGGTTGGGCCCAGGAGGTCACTGATGTCCACAGCCCATTTAACTTGCGACTTCTGGCCTCAGCCGGGTCCTGCAGCCAAGGGGGCAGAGGGTTGGGGTGCTGCCACCCAGCTGTGGCGGGAGCGTCCCAGCAGGCCCTGTGCACTTCCTGTGGGTGCCAGTCAGGGGGCGGGGTGGTCAAGCACCTACTGGGTGCTCCTCCTGCATGCTGGGTGTCCATGAAGAACGAGGGGCTCCCGGGGGCTAGGGCCTCGCCCTGGACCCAACACAGCACCCCTTTCTGTGCACCAGGCCCCCTGGCTCCTGGACGGTGGAGAAGCTGCAGGCCCTGGGCCCCCTGGCTACTTACATCAGCCCCCACCTGTGGGCACAGGTGCAGGAGGTAGGACAGGTCCCTGGGGTGGGCACAAGCAGGCAGTGGCACCAGGGCCCAGGCCACCCACCTCAGCCCACACCTGCCCTGTCAGGCCGTGGGCCTGGGCTTCTTCCACAGTGTGGTGGCTGCATGCCGGACGGGGAGGCTCAGCCGGCACGAGGCCAGGCGCTTCGTCTCCAGCTTCCTGGAGTCCAAGGCCAAACCGGTGTCCTCCGGGCATAGGCTCCGCACAGGTCAGTATGGCCCCTGTGGCCTGGATGCTGCTTATCCCCAGTCCGGCTCTTCCCTCGGGCCTGGCTAGCTTCAGAGAAGTGGTTTGGGCCAAGTTCTTGGTTAGAAGTCAGGGAGAGGCAAGGTCTGACCAAGGTCACATGTGGAGGAAGGTGTCAAAGAGGGACCCTGGGCCAGGCACGGTGGCTGTGTAATCCCAGCACTTTGGGAAGCCAAGGCAGGCGAATCACTTGAGGTCTGGAGTTCAAGACCTGCCTGGCCAACATGGCGAAACCCTGTCTCTACTAAAAATACAAAAATTAGCCGGGCATCATGGCAGGTGCCTGTAATCCCAGCTAGTTGGGAGGCTGAGGCGGGAGAATCGCTTGAACCCATGAGGCGGAGATTGCAGTCAGCCGAGACTGCACCACTGCACTCCAGCCTGGACAACAGAGCAAGACTCCGTCTCAAAAAAAAGGCGGCGCGAACAAGATGACGGGACCCGACCCCGCCCACTGTGGGAGGCCGAGCCCCGGGAACCACTGAGTGACCCGTGCACCCCCAGGGAGAGCCTGCATCCGAGGCCACATCACAGCCGCCACACTGCAGGACGACCTCTTCCTGGTGCGCTATGACTGTGGGCAGCTCGAGTCCTGCCTGGACAGCCGCGTCCTCACAGCCAACCTGGACCCCCTGCTGCAGCACCCGCTTCCCGTCGAGTGCCAGCGCGTGGTCAAGGCCAAGCTCACACAGGTGCACGGCCGGGTGCAGGGACGGGGAGGCCGCAGGCGCCAGGCCTCGGCTGACCCTGCCCGGCCCCGCCCCCTGCTCAGATCTACCCTGGAGGCCTCCCGGAGGCCCAGCTGCGGCTCATCACCTCGCTGGTCTACCTGTACTCAGGCGCGGAGATTGGCCGGTGGAACATCACCTCCAGGGACACGGTCGTGGCTCTGCTGGCCTCAGACGTGGCCCTGGAGAACCAGACGGAGGTGAGGGCACCTGGGTGGGTGGGTGGGCAGGCGGGTGGCCTGAGCCCCAGTCAGCCCCACTGGCCCTGCCCCCGCCCCCAGGCCGTGCTGCAGAAGTTTCTGGATCACAATGGCACAGTCTCCAGCGCCTTGCTGCTGGCCATTGGGGGTGCCCGCCTGTGCTGGATGAGTCCTCAGCAGATCCAGACCATCCGTCCCCAGGAGCTCCGGTGAGCCAGCCTCCACCCCCCACCACCTCAGGCCCAGGAGGACCATGAGGGGAAACAGGGCAGGGAGGGCCGTCCAGCCAGGCCATCAGGGGTGCCTGGGCTGGACTCTAGCTTCAAGCAAAGTACACAAACTGGGTGACTTCATTTTTTTTTTTTTGAGGCAAGAGTCTCACTGTGTCACCCAGGCTGGAGTGCAGTGGCGCAATCTCACCTCACTGCAACCTCTGCCCCCTGGGTTCAAGGACTCCTCCCACCCCAGCCTCCCGAGCAGCTGGGAGGAGTAGCCACCATGTCCAGCTAATTTTTATATTTTTAGTAGAGACAGGGTTTCACCATGTTGGCCAGGCTGGTCTCAAACTCCTGACCTCAGGTTATTCGCCCGCCTCAGCCTCCCAAAGTCCTAGGATTCCAGGTGAGAGCCCTGCCCTGGCCCTCAGATCTCCCTGTTCTTATAAGGACCCCATTCGGGCCCAGGTAATCCAGTCTGACCTCATCTTACCCCACCTGCAAGACTATTTCCCAGCAAGGTTCTGGGTGGATGTGAATTCGAGGGAACCCTGTTCACCCCAGGACAGAGGGTGAGAGGACAGCTGTATTTCGGAAGGGAGGGCCATGCCCAGCTGTTGGAAGGGTGGGGGCTGGTGGCCCACTCTTCAGCCGCCCGCCTCCCACAGGCTGGCCGGGGCCCTGGACATCTCCTCCTGCCCCCAGAGCCGGAAGGACGTGCTCTACACCAAGGCCCAGGAGGCCTTCGGCAGCAGCAGGACCCCGGCAGCCTACTACCGCCTCATGCGCCCCTACCTCGGTGAGCCCTGGTGGTGGGCGGGCATCCCCCCCAAAAGCCCCGCCCCTGCTCACCCCCGTCCTGTAGGCGGCGCACCGGTGGAGGAGCTGCGGCAGCTGGCCCAGGCCAACATCTCCATGGACATCGACACCTTCACCGGCCTGAACCCCCGTGTGCTGCAGGTGGGGCCAGGTTGCCCCATGGGGGTGGAGGTCAGGGCTGGCCCAGGCGGAGCAGCCCTAGGCCACGGGTCACGGCCGGCACACCCCCACAGCCTCGCCCCAGGCCGTTTCTGGGCCTTACTCCCACCATCTGCCTTATCTTGGGGCTGTGGGTCTACCCCTGGCCCGGGAGGTGCCCCATGGACCCTCTGACTCCGCCCCTCCCCACAGAGCCTGGATGTCAGCACCGTGATCGCGCTGCTGGGTCCCAATGTGGGGGACCTGCAGAAGGCACGCAGCCACCCTGCCCTCAGGTCCTGGCTCCGCAGCCTCAGTAGCTCCGCCCTAGGCCAGCTGGGCCTGGACACTGAGCACGCTGGCCCCACCGGCTCAGCCCACGCCACCAGCGGGCTCCCCAGCACCACGCCCCAGGCGCCCCATCTGGCCCACACCTCAGGCCTGCCTGGGAACACTGCCCAGGCCTCCACCTCAGGTATGGGCCCCGCACTCCTCCGGCTCGGCCCCTGCTGCCCAGGGCCCTCAGACCCCATTCCCTACCTCGCAGCCACACGCCGTGCACCTGCTTTGTCCAGTGCCCCCTGGGATGACGCTGGTGGACCCTGGCGTCACCCTTCGTTTGCCCACCGAGTTACTTAGAGATGCAGCTGCCTCCCGAAAACACGGAGCAGCAGAAAGGGGGAGTGGGGAAGCTGGGAGACCCTTGTTGGTTCCCAGAAGACCAACTGCAGGCAGGGTTCTCACTGGCTGTCCCCACCCTCCCCAGCCAGAGGGAGGGGCTGCCCAGGCCTGTCTGGCTCCACTGACAGTGCCCTCCCTGTTCCATCTACAGGCAGCCTGTGGACCCCCCTGGGGTACCTGCCCCTGGCAGTGGCCCTGCCCTCCAGCCTCCTGTGGCTGCTGCACTGGGGAACGTCAGGACCCGCCCCGCACTGCTCCCCAGGCACCTGTACCCTGGGTTCTGTGGACGTCACTGCCTCGGGGTGGCTGGGTTCACAGGGGTCAGGTGCAGGAAAAACAGGGATGCTGGGTGCAGCAGTATGCCCACTTGGGCTGAGGGGCAGGCTCTAAGCCAGGCCGACCGACTTGAGCCCCACCTCCTAGGCCACCCTGCCCATCCCCTCCTCCAGGCCCTGGGAGCTGGACTGAGGACCAGGCCTAGAGGAGGTGCCTCCCACACACACATCTGCAGGCCCAGGCTGCCCACAGAAGACGTCGCCCAGGCCCTGCAGGGGGAGGGGGGAGGGGGGAGGGGGGAGCGGAGAGGGGGGCCGGGGGCGGGGGCGTCAAGCCACCGACTTTGATGGTGGATGTGAATTAAAGTCCAGGGTGGTGTTCCCACCTATGTCTGTGCTCGGGGCCTAAGCAGGGGGGAACAGGGATGTCCTAGCCAGGGCCCAGCCTGTGGGGACGAGGGCACAGGACTCCCACCACTGTCTGCTGGGGCCACCCTGCGTGCTGGCCTGGCCCCCGGCACAGTAGCAACAGGGTCAGGAAGGCCTCCAAGGGCCCCCACCTGGCCTGGGGGCCAAAGACCAGAGGGAGAGGAGCCAAGCTGATGGGGCCAGGCCGATGGTGGGGGCCATGCTGACGGGGTCACACAAAGTCCTCAGAGGCCACAGAGTATGTCTGCAGGGGGCATATCCCCATTTACTGAGGCCAAGTTCTCCTGGTGGGGAACGGGAACCAGCCAGGTGGGGATCCCCAGTGGCGCTGGGGCCAGGAACGGAGTGGAGGTCTCAGGCCAGGGTGGAGGCCAGGAACAGAGCCAAGAGGGTGAGCACAGGTCCAGGTCCTAGCAGGCAGGGCGTCCCCGAGAGAGCCTCTGCGGAGACAGGGGAGCCTCAGAGCGCCCCCGTCCACGCCCCCAGCCCTGCCCAGGCCACCCACCTACCCACCCACCTCACACACCTCGCACGCCAAGGTCCAGGACGAGGTAGCCGTTGGGGATGCCGCCCTGCAGCCCCAGCCCCAGCATGTCCAGGTCGTCCTGGCGCTGCCGCAGGATCCAGTCCCGTACCGGACTGTGCCGCTCCTCGGCCTTCAGGCCCTCCACATGGGGTCCCAGAAGTTTCTGCACCTCAGCCACGGTCAGTGGCTGCCAGAGAAAGGGTATCCTTCCCACAGCGCCCCAAGGGCTGCCAGGGTCTCCTGTGTCCAAACCACCCCGCCCACAGATGCCCAATGCAGCCTCTCCGGACTCAAGGGCCACCCCTTGGACCCACCCCCTGTAAACCCCCCCCCCCCTGTGGACCCCCCCCCCCCCCCCCCCATGGATCCAACCCCTGCAGAGCCGCCTCCCTGCAGCCCCGCCCACTGTGGATCCACCTTACACCCCCTCCAGCCCACCCTTGCCCCCTCCTCCATGCGCCCCTTCCCCGGGGCTCCTCCGCGCGCGCCCCTCATCCCTCCGCTGTACCAGCACCGCTTCCGTCCGAAGCTTCATGAACGTGGCCAAGTCCATGCTCACATTCCGCTCACTGAGCACCTTCAAGTCCTCTGCGAGGGCTCCACCTGCCCATGGGAAGAGAGGCCCCCAGCTGAGGCCTCACCTCACACCTGCAGCCCCTCCTGGACCCCAGGCTGCAGGAAACTTGCATTACAGGGGTTCCCGGTTTCCTTAGGGATTCCAAGGCCTGGGTTTTCCTGGCCACCTGACCCTCTGAGACGTGGGAGACGCTGGAGGTAGCTGGAGCCCTGAGCTGGGGTCAGAACCCACAGCCTCTAAGGCCACCCATACCCCGGGGCAGCAGGGGGTGACCACCCAGTTACCCTGGCAGCCTGAGTGAGGCCTGTAGCCCCTCGCCTTGTTGTATGGCCGCCCTGGCCAGGGGCTCCCTGGCTCACCCAGGAAGGACCGGATCTTCGAGAAGTATTCGGACCCATTCACGTTCTGGAAAGCGAGCCGGGCCTTGGGATAGAGGACCTCTAGCTGTCTCGGGCCACACGTGTCCAGGTCCTGGGGCCTGACCGCCCTGGGGACAGGGTGCATGGACAGTGAGCATCAGCACATGGGCCCACCTAGCCGTGCAGAGCTCAGGGGACTCACCAGATGAGGCTGGGGGGCATGGAGCCCAGCTGCTCAGGGCTGAGGGAGCACAGGTACCCGGGGTAGAAGGCAGTCAGGGTGTCCAGGGTGTCTTTGTCTAGCTGCCTCCTTCCCATCATGAAGCGGTCAATCAGGGTGGCCACCTGTGGGAGGAGGCCACTGAGGAGCCTCACGGCAGGGAGAGATGGAGCCCTCCACCACCAGCACAACCTCAGGCTGTGCCCCCGACCCCAAGCCTGCCCAACCTCAGGCTTCATCTCCCCCCTGCCCCCCAGGCCTGCACAACCTCAGACTGTGCCCCCCCCAGGCCTGCACAACCTTAGGTAGTGTTCCTCTCCCTCAGGCCTGCACAACCTCAGGCTCTGCCCCCCACACCCCTCTGCCCCCCCAGGCCTGCACAACCTCATCCCACGTGCCCCGAGGCGGGTGGTCACCTGAACACTCATTTCATGCCCCTTGCTGACTTTGAGCAGAGCCTTCAAGGTCTCCAGGGAGGTCACATTCCACTTTCGAATGTCCTCAGGGCTCATCTTGAGGAAGAACTGGCCCAGGTGCTGGGTCACAGACTCAGGGTAGCCTTGTGGGTAGAGCTGCAGACCACAAGACCAGGAGGGCCACGTTACTCCCAGGGTGGCAGGGGTGGGAAGTGGAAAAGCTCCTTTCTACAGTTGCCTTTCTTATTCAAGAGTAAGTATGCTGATAGCTTTGTTAAGCCCTATCCTGTGTAGCTGTTAGACACACCATGCTTACAGGCACGTAGTACATTCTATGTCCTTGTACTTTAACCAGGATATCTGTGCTGGACGTGCTCACAGGCCTGTGCCAGCTCTCCATTGCTTTTATCTGTTTAGAAGTTTTAAGTTGTTAGCCAATTTCGAGTTTTAGTTTAGATTGTGAGGTCTGGCTCCAGCCAACGGAGATCAGACACAGCAGTAAGGACGGCCCCAAATGCGTGAGGGATAAATGTGTGTGTTTTCCTTTGTTCACTGTACTCTCGTGCAAGATGGCTAGAGAGGATCCCCTTCCTGCAGTCCAGGAAGTAAAAATTGCGTTGTTGAAAGATCGTCTGTCTCAGTGCTAGTTTTTCTCTTTTTTTTTTTGAGACGGAGTTTCGCTCTTGTTGCCCAGGCTGGAGTGCAATGGCGCGATCTCGGCTCACCACAACCTCCGCCTCCTGGGTTCAGGCAATTCTCCTGCCTCAGCCTCATGAGTAGCTGGGATTACAGGCACGCATCACCATGCCCAGCTAATTTTTTGTATTCTTAGTAGAGACGGGGTTTCACTGTGTTGACCAGGATGGTCTCGATCTCTTGACCTCGTGATCCACCCGCCTCGGCCTCCCAAAGTGTTGGGATTACAGGTGTGAGCCACTGCGCCCGGCCAGTGCTAGTTTTTCTTGCGCACTGAGCATCTGTTTCCAACACTGGAGATGGCCTGGACGCCGCGGGCCGGCAGGAGCCTGGGTCGTGGGCTACCTCGTGAGCTACCTCGCAGGCCGGCAGGAGCCTGGGTCGTGGGCTACCTCGTCCAGCTTGTGCTTCAGGATGCCCAGCTGCTCATAGGTGAAGGGGATGGCGTCCACACGGTCCATCTGGGTGGCCAGCAGGGACGCGTTCACACAAGCTTCCAGCTCCCACTTCTTGTAGAAGATGAGGTTCTCGTCTATCTCCAGGACGTCCTTGCCTAGGGGACAGGCCTTCTCTGGAGGGTACAGGGGTCAGGGGTCAGGGGCTGGACTTCATTTGACCCCTTCTTCCTCCCACACCCGCAGTGAGATGAGATCTTAGGCAATTTGTGACTCTCTCTGTGCCTCAGTTCACCCACTGGCAAAACAGCGGGATTCTGTCCACTCTGTCGTTAATGAGATGTGCTGTGGAGCCGGGGAGCGGGCAGGTGAGACCCTAAACGACAGCTGCCCACCCCCAGGGGTGCTTCCCAGCCTGCTGCTGGACAGGACGGGGCCCGGCTCTCACTCTCCACGTCCCGCCGGAGCCTCGGACGGAGGATGGTTTGTTCAGGCTGCCGCCAGGCCGGGTCACGAGAGGTGTGTTTCTGCCACGCAGCCACGACGCCCTGAGGACAAGCAGGGTCCCGGCTGAGCCTCGGGTGGCCCGGTGTCCCCACGGGCTGGGGCTCAGGGTCTTACCTGCGGGATGCTGTGGACAATGGGCTGGCCCAGCACGGGTAGCAGGCCCTGCAGAGTGTCCAGGGTGGAGACTGACCACATCGACGGGGGGCTGTACAGACACGGGGCACAGCTCAGGGACCCCCGATGCAGCCCCAGACAGAGAGGGGGGAGACAGCCAGGCCACGCGGTGCCCCCGGCTGTGGAGGGGACTCTGGAGGCACTGGCAGGGGTTGTGGCGGCGGTGGCTGACCCTGGGCCTCCAGGCGGGGCCGTGGGTGTCCACGTTCAGGGCTGCTCACGCCACATACCAGGCAAGCCTTTGAGGTTCCAGACACCGCCGCTTACCCGTAGGGGGCTCCTCCGCCCTGCAGAGCTGCCCGGGCCGCCTCCTGCTGCTCCCGGTCCAGGGGTCCCGGGCAGTGCACCAGCCGGGGTAGCACCGCCTCTGCCGACGCGGCCACAAAGCGCCCGGGCAGGTCGCAAGCCAGTCCTCCCAGAGCACGCACGTCGGCCTCGCTCACCAGAGACCCCTGCACGCCCTGCACAGAGGTGGCCTCAGCGCCTCTGGAACCGCAGAGGCCTCTCCCCACCACCCTGTACCCACCGCGCCGGGCCCTACCCGGCAGGCCAGGGCCGCGGGCAGCAGCCGCTGTCGCTCAGGAGCCCCCCGAGGGAGCAGGTCCACATTGGCCTTCGAGACGCGGGAGAAGAAACGGGTGCAGGCCTGGGACCCTGAGAACGCAGCCGGGCTGTGAAGAGAAGGTGCTGGGGACAGGCTGCACTAACCACACTGTCCCCACCGGAGAGGGGGTTGCGCTGGCCTCCACGTCGCTGCTGTGGCCTGGGGTCCAAGGCAGGGGGCAGGGGGCAGGGGGCAGGGGGCAGGGGGCAGGGGCTGGGGGGGGGAGGCGGGGGGCGGGGGGGGGGGGGGGGGGGCGGGGGGGGGGGGGCGGGGGG